TATTTCCCATTTTTGCTGAGCAAGAGGTTTGTGCAAAAGGAATTCATCCCATATAGATGCCTGCTCCAAATATAGGCAGGTTGAGTTCAGCGATTGGGAGAAAATAAAAACCTGAAGTTGAAGTGGTTGAAGTTTTATGGTACGTCCATATTGGATGACTCTGTATCTCACAGTTTATGTCCAAATCAGACATGCAGTTAACCAAAATCTTTTGCTTACAATAATCAATTGCCTCACCCTAACCATACCATAAATATAGATGCCATAGTTGCCCTAACCAGTCTCTCTATAACAATAACCGTAGTTGTCATGCACAGATATTGTAGAAAGCTATAATTTTTAAAATGTTGGCAGTGGAACATAATCTGAGGTTTCGCAGAATTGTCTAATATCAACATTCATGTCCAGTAACAGGTTTGCAAATATCTGTTGGCAGGAGAGTGCTACTGCACAAGTGAAATAAAGTTGTATAAAGCCTTTTGTGTCTCCAGAGGGAGCTGCACGAAATCTGATAAATTGCCTCAAGTGATGTCAGTTGAGTCAGCGTCTGTTGAGGCTGAAGACTAGTTTGAAAATGAAAAATATCTCAGGGTGTGGAGTTTCAAAGAAGTGATCATACCAGACCTCTATAGCCCGCTTGTCACCTCTGCTCGAGGCTACTATCACAGCAAACCACACACCGTATCCATATATAAACCGCCTACATTATAATAATAATAATAATAAATTTTATTTATAAGCGCTTTTCTAAAAATACATTGTATGACTATTTGTTTTATTTTATTGTCCTTTTATAAAGTAGCAGTAGTATGGTTATATTTGCCTATTGTCAAATTGATAATGTCCATTGCATCAGGATCAAATTCCTTTTCTTTAATCTTAGGAAATCTCTCCGCTTGTAAAGCAGCTATATGAATAGGAAGAGGAGACTATTAGCTATTAGCTTTTTGTGCCTTGTAGGACAACTCTTTGTAGTTAGATCAAAAATACTCAACAAAACAGTCCTAATTCCCCAAAGTAGTCTGAAAAACTACATCAGAAGAATCTCTACCTGGAGTCCTGAGGCTTGAGCAGAACTGAGCTGGAGTCAGAGAATCGTTGGGCCAAATGAGGGCAAACAGTATAGTTACATCATGTGGACTCCAAATGGAGGCAGAAAAAGTGAGATCATTCTGAGACAACTGAGGCTTCATGGAGATCCCTTTCCTCTCTGGTATTAGAGAGGAACAGTCTAACCACCACTCCTCCACTGTTGGTGGTGCAGAATAAATCAGAATACCTGGGTCATAATTTGAATTGTTTGCATTTTTATAAGCCCACTGGCCAACAGAGAAGTTGGACAAGTTTCCTTTTTTCCCCAGTTGCAGGCGAGGAAGAAAAAAATAAGACACAGCAAGGAAAAGGTCACTTTATTAACAGTGTCATGAAGTGGTGGTGGTAGCCTGCCCTCCTCAGGTTCATGTGTGTGTGCAGGGGGGAATGGGGAAAATGTAAAATTAACTGTAGTTTGCATAGGGTCACATGTGATTACATCCCAGTGAACACTACCAGGTGATCCTTGGATCAGTACATCAGGAGGGGATGGTGTGCATCCATGCTCACACAATCACAAATGCTGCCCTCCACCTCTCTCTCTCTCTTTCTCTCTCTCGTATAGGGCAACAATAAGACACACAGAGGGAGCTATTACAGAGTGTTATCTTAATCATACAGATGATGCTTTGGATCATCTGCTAGTTCTTTGGCTCTAGCCCACAAATATCACAGTGAAACAGCCAATAGGGACTCACTCAGGAACTCACCTCGCTGAGAGACATCTGCCTTATCTCAGCTAAAATGTCACATGTGTGATGAAAAGTGAGTTTGAGCGAGGTTCACTCCCTTTGCATGTTCCAAAAAGAAAAAAAAATCTTTATTTATTTGATTTGTATGGAGCAGTGAGAGCTCTGCTTGGGGATTCTCTGCACATTTGATGGCATTTATAAAAGTGGGAAAGACAAGCTCTCTCTCTCTCTCTGTCTCT